AACTTCAAAAGCCCAAAATTCCCAACTGTCTAAACCCAGAATTGGTGACCAACTGATGATAAACCACTATGAATTTAGAAAAAGATAAACCACTACAAATTACCGCAACTAAAAATAGAAAGGGAAATAGCATTCACACTACTCCTAGGAACTCCCTACTGGAGTTACCAATCTGTGGGCACCGAAAATGACCCACTTCGTGGCTAAATTATTGGAGTCGCCACCCATCATGGCAGAGGAAAAAGGGAGTGATGGGACTCCCGTTAAATTGAATAATTTTGACCTATGTGTTATCGGGATAAAGCAATCTGGGTAAGCTGGGGAGAAGAGAGGGAAGGGGAGTTTCAACAAACATAATAACTCATTCCAATGAGTGCAAACTGAGTTCGAGGCCTCCTCGAACTCTGGCAAGCTTCGTAAATGTGCAAGAATACACACACTCGACATGCAATCACTAGGTTTTCTCACATTGTCAATTCTCTTATTATTATTATACCTTATTTTGGGTTTAGCAGCAGCTCTAGCAACAACACATGGATTACTATTTTCTACCGACACTAAATTTTTTAATGGGAGTTCAAAGAAAAACAAACAAATGAATAAAAAACATGTTGTTCAATCCGGTTACAGGACCAGACAAAATCCAAGCTTCTCCGTTCACAGCCCAAGATTCGGATTGGAATCCAATGAATGGGGCGTTACTGGGATTTCCCTTCTTCAAGCCCTTCATTGGAACCAACCATTACTCGAGAAGGTCCAAAGGGACCCCAGTTACATTGGTTGTGAATAGAGATAGACCTGAAGCTTGAACCAAAAAAGCAAGGAGGAAGCTGAAACTCGAATGAAAGAATGCGAGGGGTGGGTGAGGTTGCTCGTGTCCAATCCCTTTAGACCTCGTGCCTACAATAGTTTCCCCTCTCACTCTTTCATTCTAAGCTCCTATAATTACAGCAAGGGGAAGAATCTACCTCTGCGTCTAAGGCGACTTAGAAGCCTGTGCTCATCAGATGGCGACAATTGCACAACTGGTGGCGTCTCTTCCCCACCTTTGGGTTCTGGGACTGATTCAAGTGAAAGGGGAGGTTGTGATCCTCTACTACCTCAATCCTGGAATGACCTGGGCGACTGAATCATTGGGTAGAAATTCCATCAAATGGCTTAGAGGCAACCCAACCGAAGGGTTCAGAAGGAAGCCCCCGTGCACGTCAAGAATGTTGTCACAGAAACTTTAGGTGGGAGACAGAGAGGTTCTGATTTGGAGAGAGATTTCGGAGGGTGTCGGAATTCGCCTATGGAAGCTTCTCCTCTCGCTGGCGAACTCTGACTTTGTTCCTTGTTTCAGTATGGGAAGTGGAGGGAAGATGAAGGACTCAAAGTCGAGTACCCCCTTCGACCTTTTTTGGGTAAGAAAAGAAAGAGACTTAGTTTAAATTTCTTAAACTATCCTTATGGTTTAGTTAATTGACTAAGTATACTCTTACTGTTTAAAAATTAACTAATACTACTCCTATTATTTCTAACAATTCACTAATTCTTCTTAAGCATTAACGTCTATCAAAAATATGAAAAAGACTATTTTACCCTCCACTATAAATTACTCGGATCTCTATCTCTCCCTCTCATTTTCTTCACCGATAATGGTCGGATATGGGTTCCTTGCAGATCTGAGAGATACTCAGATATGGATTGTCCCCATATGCGGCAAGAAGCCACAGGGCTAGTAACACTAAACTGGGCATTGTTCTTGAAGGCTTCATAAAGACATTAGTCCACTGCAACACTATCCCTACGGCTTCACAAAGCCACAGGGCTGGTAACACTAAACTGGGCATTGTTCAAACGATGATGCCTCCAGTCCTTGTATTCATCCTCTTAACTGTCGTAACCAGTAGAACGAAGGCCAAAGGCAAAATCGAAGCTCCCCAACCTCTTTAACTGTCGTAACCAGTGGAACAATCAGAGTGTCGACCTCTGCATTTGCGGAAATTCCGAAGAAGAGAACAAGAGGAGCGCTGACCTCTGCAGTTGCAGCGGTTCTGGAGAAGAAAACGAGAGGGCCACCGACCTCTGCGATTCCGGAGAAGAGCAGTGGTTACAGAGAAGACAATATATTGCTAGACTTGATGTCACGGTGCAGCACCACCTGGTCCCACCCATGATGCAGGTAATTCAAGCCCTCTGCTACATGGACGAGCACCCTTCGCCGTCCCTCCCACCCCAACAATTGGTTCGACTTGTCAAAGATCCAACTGCTGAGGCTGCATTAGGCATGTAATCGTAGACCAACATCAACTCGTTGCCTTTCTTGCACCACCCTCTCATGTGGACTAAGTTCTTGTGTTGCAGCCCGCCCATGCTTGAGATCTCGGCCATGAACTCTCTCAATCCCTGCTTGGAATCATGGTTGATGCATTTGATTGCAACCTCTGTGTTGTTGGGTAGAGTTCCTTTGTATACTTTGCGAAAACGACTGAACCCTAGAAGATTTTCTTTTGAAAATTGATTTGTTGCTTCGTTAAGCTCTTGGAAGGAGAACCAGTGGGGCTAGTACTTGAGCTCCCATTCTTCAATGTTGTCCTCCTCTTCGCTTTTCCTCTTCCTTCGCCAAAACCAATAAAATAAGAACCAGAAAGATTAAAATTGTAACGGTGAAAGAAGAAACAGCGATTCCTAATATAGCTTCCACAGAATATGACGGCTGCAAATGTGGAAGATGCGGCGTAAAACTTGGCAATTTCATTGTATTTATGTCAGGCAAAGTGTCAAATCCTTTATTATTAAAGCTCCAAGCTAACATCCTCTGTGCTTCTCCTAAAGTGTCCTTTGATGCAGAGAACCCAACAAACATCTCGTTGGATATGTATTCACTTATTTCATTGGCATAATAATTGAACAGAGTTTTAGATGGTCGAGAAATACTTGCAGGAGCAAAATGTTACAAAATGTTAGCATCCGGCCTATGCAGCTCCGGCGGTTCCAGTGGTTCCGGAGAAGAAAACGAGAGGGAAAAGGAAGAGGGGAATTCCCCTATAGCATTCGACCTTTGCAGTTCTGGCAGTTCTTGAGAAGAGAATGAGAGAAAATGGGAGAGATCAAAGATCAGAGATCTACAGTGAAAGAGGGAGAGGTCGGAGGTGGAGGGTAAAATGAAAGAGGGCGAGGTCGGTGGTGGAGGGTTAAATTGGGTTTTTAAAAAATTACATGTCCTATGCCTATGAGTTTTGACATAATATTAACAGAATCTAATGGTAAGGGTAGAGTTAGTCAATTGTCAGAAATAGTAAGGGTAGTGTTAGTCAATTTTCAAACAGTAAGGGCCTCCCCTAAGAAGGGAACCTGGGCTCCCCCCCACCATCCCCTATTTATAGGGTTCAAGTAGGGGTAGTTTGGGCATTTTTTATTTTTATGGGGGTAGAAAGGTCCAAAAGAAGGAAGTTTGGGGGTACTTTAGCTATGAAGGTGTATGGGGATATTTTGGGTATTCTGAGAGTCTTCAGGGGTAAGGTAGTCCAAAATGTGAGTTTGGGGGTATTTTGAGAGGGAAGGTGTTGTGAGTGCATTTTGGGTGTTTTGAGGGTTTTCAAGGGTAAAATGGTGCAAATGAGGGAAATTTGGAGATATTTTGGGAAGAAAGATATGTGGGGGTATTTTGGGTATTTTGATAGTTTTCAGGGGTAAAGAGGTCTAGATGAGGTAAATTTGGGGGGCTTCTGGGAAGAAGGGTGTGGGGGGTATTTTGGGTATTTTGATGGTTTTTCAAGGGTAAAAATGTTTAAACAAGGTAAACTTGGGGGGGATTCTAGGAAGGAAGATGTGTGAGGGGGTGTGCCAGTTATTTTGAAGTTTTGGAGGGGGTTCTAACAAAAGTTGTAACAAGGGAATATTCTGATCCAAGGGTAAACAACTTTTGGGTGGTCAAGATTTACTTAGGGAGGGTTGGTGTGTTGAAGCTATATCATGAGAGAGTTGTGCAAATAAATGATAGCTTGTGAAATAGAATCTTGCTTGGTTTGAAGGCTTGGAATGGATTTTTTTTAAGTGAAATTTGGTGGGTAAGGTTTTCGAGGGTTCTAGACTCGTTGGTAGAGTTAAATGGGTCTGAAGAAGTCTGCATCTAGGGGATTTATGGGATCATGGTTCTTGAATAATGAGGATGATTAAAAAAGGAATCTTTTTCCAATCAAGGGGCAAATGATGGAGCATTGAGATGAAATTTGACAGGTGAGTTTTAGGGTACTTGGAGTCTCTGAGGGGTGTACAAGGGGCTAATATCCACTTTTTGGGTGCTGACACTGACTGGCTGGCCAAATCACCCTCCATCACCTACTATTAATAATATTAGAGATTCAACTGTGACTTGTCACCTTACTATTGGTTCAAGTGGTGCTTTAAAAAAACAAAATATTTCATCATGCTATTCCAAAAATATGCCATTAAATACTTTAATCATTTTGGGAAGAAGGGTATAAGTGTAGTGCAACAAATTAAGACTGCATTTGGCCTGGGATTTGTTTAATTTGAAAAAAAGTAAGAGGGAAACAAAAAACCAAGAGAAAGTTCTTTATGGCTAGTTTGGTAAAAGCTCCAACAGGGACAGGGATTCGAATTCTACTACCACCCAATTTGTTGGGGAGGGGCTATAAGTGTAGTGCAGTACTACTCAAACGGCCCTATGGAGAATTTGGGGGTATTACCAAATAAACAATTAAAAAAAAAAGTGATTAATTCCTTCTAATTCTTCAAATGATGCCTTATATGCTAAGGTTATTCATAAAATACGTGTAAAACTGGTTCAGACGCGAAAACAAAGTAACAATTGGGAAGAAGAATGAAGTCCCGATTTCATTGAATGAGGTCTTTATAAATACAATTGGAGGAGAAGAGTAATCGACTAACAGTTGACACCTAAGCCTAGAGTTCGTTGTAACAGATGACAGCTATACAACTAACTTACAGTTGTAATATCTCTACACCCCCCTTCAAGTTGGAGCATGGAGTAGTCAAATGTCCAACTTGGATAAAAGGTGATGAAATTGATCAGAGTTAAGAGCTTTAGTAAACAAGTCAACCGACTGATTGTAGCTAGGTAAATGTTGTGGATGAATGGTTCCTTGTTGGACATGATCTCTAACAAAGTGGCAATCGATCTTGATGTGTTTTGTACGCTCGTGAAAAACTGGTTTTGTTGCGATGTGTAAGGCAGTCTTACTGTCACAATGTAGAGGTATGGAATTAACAGAGATGGTGAGTTCAGCAAGGAGTCTTTTGAGCCATAAGAGTTCGGAGGTTGTGACTGCCATTGCACGATACTCCGCTTCAGCAGAGGAGTGTGAAACGGTATGTTGCTTCTTTGTTTTCCAAGATATGGGAGAGTTGCCAAGCATGGTAATGTAACTTGTAGTGGAGTGTCGTGTTAGTGGACAGCTGGACCAATCTGAGTCACAAAATCCTCGAAGAATGAGGTCATTCTGGGCTGCCATGAAGATGCCAAAAGAGGAAGTGCCTTTGAGATAGCGAACAACACGCAAAGCAACATCGAGATGTTCTGTGTTGGGGTCATGCAGAAACTGACTTAAGCAGTTGACAGCAAAGCAGAGGTCCGGTCTAATGATAGTGAGGTACACTAGTCGGCCAACAAGCTGGCGATATTGTGTTGGATCAGTCAGAGAAGGACTGGAAGAGTCAGTGAAGTGTCTTTGACACTCCATGGGTGTTGGTGCAGGCTTAAAGTCTATCATCCCTGTGTCTTGAAGTATCCCACGAATATATTTTTCTTGACTGAGAAATATGCCTAAATCAGTGCGGGTTACCTCAAGATCCAAGAAAAAACTGGGTGGTCCAATATCCTTGATTCCAAAGTGCTCATTGAGAAAGGCTTTGAGAAAAGAAATGACTAAGGGATCATTCCCAGCAACTATAACATCATCAACATAAACTATGGCAGCAGTGTAAGAAGTGTCATTTTGTTTGGTAAACAATGAATAATCTGTCATAGATTGAGTGAAGTCTAGGGAAAGAAGTGCTTGGGTGAATTTATGAAACCACCTATGAGAAGCTTGTTTGAGCCCATAAAGAGATTTCTGCAAATTGCATACTCGACAGTCACTTGTTTGGCAAACCCGGGAGGAATAGTCATGTAGACTTCTTCATCAATATCCGTGTAGGAAAGCATTATTGACATCTAGTTGGTGAATGTCCCAGTTCTTGGCTACGGCAACTACAAGTAGGCAATGTACTATAACTAGTTTTGCTACAGGTGAAAATGTGTCATGAAAATCAAGACCTTCCACTTGGTTGTATCCTTTGGCTACTAAACGTGCTTTGAACCGCTCGATTGAGCGATCAACACGATATTTGATGTGATAGATCCATTTTGAACCAATAGCTCGTTTGCCATGTGGTAGTTCTACAAGAGTCCAAGTCTTGTTCTTTTCCAATATTGTAATTTCATCATCCATTGCTTGTTTCCATCAAGGGTCAGAGGCTGCTTGAGCATATGTAGTGGGTTCAACCTCTAATGAACTAGTTGCATTGTTAGAGGATGATGGTGGATTGATGGATGGTGGAAGGGAATAGATGTAATCTTGTAGTCGGGCTGGGACTTTGTGAGACCGTTGTGGTCATGTGGTGATGGTTGGTGTCTATTGCATTGTGGGTGAAAGAGGCGCAATGTTGGGTTCAGAATCATGGATATTAGGACTTGGAGGGGTTGAGTTTTGAGTGGATTCAGCAATGATTTCATTTGTGGGTTAGAGAGCAGTATCAATGTGGGTCTCATTTGATTGTGGTGAAGGAATGATGGGGGACAGTTGGGTTTTCTGAGTTTGGGAGAAGGGGAAGATGTGCTCATAGAAACTTACATCCCGAGAAACAAATATACGACTAGTGGTTAGGTCGAATGTGCGGTATCCTTTCTTGCCATGTGGGTAGCCAACAAAGAGTTCTTTAACAGCCCTGCTTGCAAATTTATCAAGGGGTCGGGGATGACTTGAGCATAACATAGGTACCCGAATACCTGTAAATGTTCATAAGATGGTGGTGAATGAAATAGTGCTTGGTGAGCGTCCAGATAACACCGATGTGGAGAGAAGGTCGATGATGTAAGTGGTTGTCAGTAAACATTCCCCCCAAAATGAAGTAGGTAGTGAGGCCTGAAATTTCAAAGCACGAGCTACTTCCAGCAAATGTCGATGTTTGCGTTCAGCTATACCATTTTGCTGGGGGTATCAATGCAAGTGGTTTGATGTAAGATGCCATGGTGAAGGAAGTATTCTTGCAGTTGCCGTGACATGAATTCAACGCCATTGTCTGATCTGACCATTTGAACTAAACAATTGAATTGTTTATGCACCATGTTGCAAAAATATATGAGGGAAGGGACTGCCTTTGATTTATTTCGTAACAGATATACCCAAGTACATCGGGTGTTATCATCTACAATTGTTAGAAAAAAATGAGCCCCAGAATGTGAAGGAGTTCGATAGCCTCCCCATGTATCGCAGTGAAGAAGCTTGAATGGTTGAGAAACACAAGTTGTGTTGATTGGAAATGGAACCCATGCATGTTTGGCATGGTGGCAAGCATCACAACAAGTGTTTTGGGAGCTAGTTTGAACACCAAGAATAGAAGAAATGCTATTGTTGGAAGCATGGCCAAGTCGCCTATGCCATGTGGTGCAATTCTCTTTAGAGATAGCCAAATGAGTAGATGTGGGTGTCTGATCGACAAACTTGAAGTGGTACAGACCACGGTGAAGTTTACCCACTCCAATCACCATCTTGGAAACAAGACCCTAGAGGACACAAAAAGTTGGAAAGAATAATACCATGCATTTTAATTGAGTAGTAAGCTTACTAACGGACAATAAATTGCATTTGAATTGTGGCATGTAAAGCACATTATGAAGGATAGTCCCCTTAGCCAATGAAACAGAGCCTTGTTGGCTTGCTGGAATTATGTCACCAGTGGGTAGATAAACTGGTTTAGTGAGGTTGTTGTGTGTGACAAAATTCAGGTCTGAAGTAACCATGTAGTCGGAAGCACCACTATTTAAGATCCAAGAAATAGGAGAGAAGTCATTACCAGATGCATTTGTTGCTTACACTCAACAAAGAGAGTAGCTGTGTATATTGCTGCATGGTAAGCCCATTGATTGGAGAGGTTTCAGTGGTGTTGCAAGGCTACGAAGCAATGGATTCAGTTCCAGCGACATAAGAACTCGATCCATTGCTAGGCCAGGTAGCTGGTGCCTTGTTGCCTTGACGACCATATTTTCCTTTTCCCTAGTTGGGAGGATATCCGACTAATTGGTAGCATTTGTCTCGTGTATGCCCCTGTCGTTGGCAATGATCGCACCGAATCTTGGTTCGACCTGGTCCATTGAAAGCCTGAGGTGGTGGTTGAAATGAGGCTTGCAATGTCAATGCTTCAGGAACTGGCGGGCCACGAAGAGAAATAAACTGTTGATGGCGTTCTTCTTGAAGTATCAAAGAATACGCCTTCTTGAGACAAGGCAATGGATCTGACCCGAGAATGCTGGATCGTATGGTGTTGTAGTTTTGATGCAGGCCCATGAGAAATTGATACAATTTTTCCTTCTCTCATTCAGCCGCAAGTATCTTTGCAGCAGCGCAACATGCGCATTCTGGATATGAGGTCAAAGTGCCAAACTCATCCCAAAGTGTTTTTAATCTGGTGAAGTAGCTGGTGATAGAGAGATCGGCTTGCTGTAGCATGGCCAGATCTCGTTTTAATTGATGGATTCTTGGAATGTCACTCTTGAGTATCGGACTTCCAGTTCTTTCAACACATTAGAGGCTGAATCTACAAATGCCACACTATCGTAGATTTCTTTATCATTGAATTGAGGATCCAAGCCACAACCATGGCATTGCATTTCTCCCAAGCAGTTCATTCCGACGAGGTAGGGTCAGGACGTGACAAAGATCCGTCTATGAAATAGATCTTGTTCTTGGCACGAAGAGCGTTTTTCATAGCCCTCTGCCAAGTTGGATAGTTGTTGCCGGTGAGCAATTATGAAACCAGGACACCTTCTGGACTGTCGGAGGGGAACAAGAAGAAAGGAGAGGCCGGATCAATGGATGCTAACAAATTGCTGGTGGACGATGAAGTCATCATTTCTTTCATCCCGTGAGACACAATAAGAAAAGAGTTGTAGACGATGAAAAAGAGACAGAAACAAGTCGGCAGATCACCGCTGTTGTAAGTAGTTGATGGCGATGGCCTCGGATAGAAAGATTATTCCAACCTTGCTCTGATACCATGTAAAACTGGTTCAGACACGAAAACATAGCAACAATTGGCAAGAAGAATGAAGTCCCGATTTCATTGAATGAGGTCTTTATAAATACAATTGGAGGAGAAGAGTAACCAACTAACAATTGACACCTAAGCCTGAAGTTCGTTGTAACAGATGACAGCTGTACAACTAACTTACAGCTGTAATATCTCTAACAATACGTGTGGTGGCAAGCATGTTCTTTTATGATGTAGAACGACAAGTGTGAAACTATAAACTAGATTTCAATTACCCAAATAAAAGGGAGGACGAGTCTTTCTCCTTTTTCAGTCAATAATTTAAAAAACATGGAGAATCTTGCTTTTCACCCTAACGAGAAGAAATTGGTTAAAGTATGACCAGGGAAAATTTGTCTATCTAAAAAGCAACCAAACAACGGTTGTTAAGCTTTTCTAGTCCTCTTTTAAACTTGCAAATTTGCAAGTAAATATTCATATGAACCTAATCCAATGGGGCGAGCTTTGGCCTTAGGAAGGGAAAGTTTTCTAGTTTGCTTTAAAAAAAAATCCAATGGGGCAGATTCAGAGGGCTAGGGTTTTATAAATTTTAGATCCTATGCACCTCCCTAAACCTACCAACCTGTATCCTCCCTCAAATTCATAGTGGGTTGGGTTTTCAGAATCCAAACCCTTCCTGCATATGAAAATACAACACCCTCCCTGACTCTATCCTCTCCTCATTTTAGGATGGGGTGGGTTGGCGGGTTATGTCTGAAATCGGTATCTAATTTTGTATTATTTCTTTTTATATATAAGCAATAAACAGGTAAAATAACATGAATAAACATAAAATTTTTCAATATGTGGATGGGGGAAGGGTTAGATTTAGCCTAATACCATACCCTATCTATACCCATATGGGTTGTGAAATCCCAAAACCCGTCACCACCTAAAAATCCATTTTTCACGGAAAAAACATCTATTGAGTTTGGGGCAAGTACCCGTTGGGTAAGGTAAAAATTACCATTGGTATGATATAATAGAAAATAATAAAAAAATTGTGGGAAAGTTTGTAACAAATTTGGTGAATTCCCTACTAACTTTTACTCGACTTTCTTTTCTCTTCTTTTTTCTATCAAACCAAACATAACAAGGAAAGAGAAAAAAAAAAGTCCTGTGAGGTATTTTTCATTTTTTATCTTTTATGGGTAGGAGTTTCGGATTCTGTTTAAGATTCAGGGTATCGCCGACTCCCAATTTCTACTACAAAATGGGCCATGATATTATCAAAAGATCCAAAACCTTCGGTTCCTCCTGAACCAGCTCGAAGGACTATTGGGAACAGTGGGCCTCCTTCAGCATATCAACTATCAAATACTCCCTTTGAAGCCCATATCTCACATTTATAACTTAGGCTTCGTTCATTTTTCGGTAAGTTATTTACCTGGGTAAATGCAATTACTTGGGTAAGTTTTTCCTGGGAAACACTTACCTAGGTAAGTAAGTTTACCCATGTCCTTTTATTTTCCAAGTAAAAAACGAAATTACCATTTTAGTCATAAAAATCCATTATTAAAAAGGGCATTTTTGTCCCATTCAAGTGTTGGAAACTTTGCCCCTGGTGGGAAAGTTACTTACCCACCTAGGAGATGGGTATACCCAGAAAAATAAACTTTCCCTGGTCCCCACATTAATCTGAAAAAAGAACATGGGGTTCTTGGTCAATGGGAACCAAAATCCCATTGACCAACTTCCCCCCATCTCAAAATCCAAAAAAAGAACTCCCCCTTAAATTGTGTCTTGCTATCTAGAGTCTGGACCACCCTCATTACAGTGATAGAATGAAACAGATAATTTGTTGGATTGAGAGCAGGCCCACCTCAATCCATGCATTGTTCGGACTAGAGTCGAAGAACTAGGGGCCCATTTGGTACTTAAGAATAGGGGTATGGTATGGAATCAGAGTCGGAATGGACCACTCTGATTCCAACAGTTTGATTGGGCGGAATCGGAATCTCATTCCCACTCTTGGTGGAATGGCATTCCCCCATTTGAGGGAATGGTCATTCCCTCCTCTTCCCTTGAGAACAAAATTTCATTCCAACTTATTCCAATTCTCATACTAAATTATGGGAATAGATCATTCTAATTCCAATTCTGACTGCAAACCAAACGGACCTAGGTACGTTAAGTGAGATCATAGCCGGATCTCTCATCATGGATGTGGATCCATATATATCTACACATTTAGGTGGTTCGGATTCTGGATCTGAATCACATAATCACATTAATTAAGGCACAAACTGACAAACAGTTTCTTATTTGATCTCGAAACCTCTCTATCATTTACGTGAGCATTTCATTCACTTGTATAATAAGAAATCTTTATATCATATTTCTCAATTGTATTGTATGATACAAAAAATGAATTAGAAAATTTGTATCGATACCAAAAAGAAAAAAAAAAAAAAACGTACGTACGAAAGGTTTCCCGATCTCTTCCTAACTAAGTAACTAGTCGAGGCAGGGAAACATCAATGGACAAAGCTGAACAGCCAATGTTGCTGCTGTGCTCTCACTATAAGAAAGGCCTACCCGGCTCCATCACTACGTATGTATCAGAGTCAGAGACAATATTCTCCTTGGCGAGTTGGAATAACTGGCGTCCCGCAAGACTCAACTCATTGTTTCCTCTACATTTCCTTCATTTGAATTCTGAACAACACCTACAAGAATTACAAATTAAAGACAGAAAACTAATTAAGAATAGAACAAGACTACAAGAGAGTTATTCGTTTCTGAAATTGCACCTAGCTAGCTAGACCCTGGGGCTGCAAACGATGAATCGATCCAAATCAAATTTGATGAATAATCTAAGGTATATCCTAAATTTGATGCAATCCATGATTGCACCAACCCAATTAATTAAACTATTTAAATATTGAAATCAAACCCTTTACTGGTTCAATAAATCGGAATTATATATGGTTACCTGTCCTTAATTAAGGTTGTATTGTTGTTGTGACTTGTGACGATTCATTGATTCCAGTCGCTGAAGCCTTATCTGCTCGTAGAAATTGGTGATAAATTCTTCAGCCTTGGCATCAATCATTTCGTCTCCATCGTCAACATCGTCTTCGCTATTATCAAGCTCTTGGAGATTCTGGGCCGAAGTATATCGGCTCAGGCTTTGATAGGAGCTCGAAGGGGATAAATAAGTTGACTGCGGTGCCTGTACTAGTGCCGGAGGTGGCTGAAAAGATTCCTCCTCCGGCCGGGTAGTGTGGTCTGCAGGCGTAATGGGCAACTGTGGGGACTGGTGATGGAGGCGTAAAAGGCTCATTGTCCCCAAAATTCCCTTCCATACACCCTTGGTTTCAACGCCGACATGGGCAGATTTAGACTTCCCGGACGATCGGCGGCCCAGCTTTAGCAGCGCTGCCTTGATCAGTCGTAGCGTGCCACGCTTCTTGGTCGACGGCAGGCGGGGGACTGAAGTTTTGTCCATGTTGTACTGCTATTATGCACGTCGGAGGTGGGCTTCTTTCTCCACCCCACGACGAGAGATCAGAGAAGAAAGAGGCTGCCTCCACCCCCTCGCTTTGTGAATGCACGCGTTGAGGTCGAGGCGGTATCCCAAGCTACTCTGTTCTCATTTTAAAGCAGAAGAGCGAGAAAGAGGGGAGAGAAGATGGTCGTACATATGTTCTATCTATACTCTATAGCATATTGTTACAGAATATGATCCGGCCGGCGAGTTCACCGGGGACAAGTGGTGGTGTCAAGGCCAAGTTCGATGGGGTTGGTTGCGGGTCTACTACTACTACTATAATTAAGGAGGGAGAATCGGGAACGACTGGTGCTGGTGGTGGGTCATCGTCATGAAATCGGTTCTTGATGCGGAAATCGCTCGCGGCAGAGAAGAAAGCAGTAAGCCTTCGTTTCTGCTAGAGCCAGCCAGCACCCTTATTACCCACGGAAGTCGGGTTCCAGCAAACAGGTTTTCGTGTAACCTATAACCTATACATAAATGATCAGATCAGCAGATCAGAGAAGACATCAAAATCATCCACATATATTCGGTGGTGATTCCATTGATGTATGTTGGTGTTTCCTCAACGCAACCGATTGGCTGTTACTGTTAGGTATAGGTAATCACGTGGATCGATCAGGAGAATTCTTACTCCTCCTCGATTGATCGTATCGGAATTCATTCCAATTGGATGATGTATCAACTATCAACTACTACTAGGAGACAAGACATATTGAAGTAATGAAGTTGAAGATATCTTTTCAGGAATTCCACCACCACCTTGTCCTTTCTCTCTCCTGGGGCCGGGGCCGGACGAGGCGAAGAATGTGTAAGGGTTGCATAAAGCCGATGTTTGTAGAGAAAATTAGAATTAGACCTGGCAATTGGGTTGGGTGGGTCGGTTCGGGTTGGGTCAAGACATTTTGGGTCGGGTTGAACTTCGGATTGGGTTATCAAATGCTACCTTAACCCTAAATGTTCGGGTTAGGGTTGATCCATCAGTCAATTCGAATCACTCTAAAAAATAACTGAAATTAAAAAAAAATAAAAAAAAAATTACATGAAAAATGTCAAAATTAAAAGAATTAACATTAAAATTCCACATAAATTTAAAAATAAAAATTTGAACATTTAACAATTGAAAGAGTGAACAATAAAAAATAAGGATTAAATAAAAAAAATTAAAGAATAGAAACTTCTAACAATGCATAAATAGTCTCGATTAGAATGGATCAAACATGACACAAGCTTGCTGAGAATGAATGAAAGTTGCTGACTTCAGTTGCTTGTATTTTTCAATCAATCAAGATATACAGAGAGAGAGAGTTTTACTTGGTCCCCACGCAGCAAAGTGAAAGTGAAGTGAGGCGTGAAAGTTTCAAATTACACAGTCCATGCCTCTAGCGTGAACCAGAACTCTTGAAGTTAGAAGTTGTAATGCAAACGGGCCCACTTGAAGGGTGTCACCAGACTTACCGCTCTCAGGAGTGTAAGCAGGCCCAATCAACTTGGCTCGAGTAGCTTGTCTAATAAAATATTATTTTTTAATATACTTTTATTTATAAACATTTTAAATATTAATTTATTTATAAATTTTAATATATATTTATTTATAATTGGCTCAAGCCGATTCGATTTGAGTTCGAATAACTCACGAGGATTGACTCGAGTTGAACTTGCCTGGATTACACTCCCTACTCACAAGTCACCAGATTCACCACCAAGTCTTTCTTGGGTTTACATTGCCCAAGTAACCTCGTATCTTAAGTGGGTCGACTTGGGTTAAGGAATTTTTAAAATTTAAATGGGCCCAACCCAGTCCAATCTCGTTCAAAATCTTCAAATACGGCAACCTAATGTACACTCCTATGGCCATGGAGTCTAGACTCTAGATCCAATGTTAAAAGCGAGACATGCAATACGTCAGTAATCCCTATCCTTATCAAACATGTTCATTTGTGGTTTTGGGGTGTGGCCCGTGTTACACACCTAGTTTTTTACCAGATTTGGAATATTCTTATTCATAGCTGGTCATGTCTAGTTAGAACTGTAAAGTGGGTCATGTCATGAGCGAGCTGACATGATATGGCATGAAAAAGTGGGCTGTGCTGGTACTAGACCTGTTCATGAGCCGGGCCGGGCCGGGTTCGGGCCGGGCTTTGACTCTTTATTAACAGAAAAATGTTAGGTCCGAGTTCGAGCCCGGCCCGACCAACGGGCCTACAACTTGGGCCCGAGCCCGGCCTTGATAAAAAGCCCGAAGCCCGATCTAATAAAAGAAATTCGAATTTTTCCCTATTCAAATGGACATTTTCTATTTTAATTTAGATGTTTTTTCCCTATTTAAATGAACAATGGGCCTACAAGTGAATCAACAACCTTCTCAAATTAAAAAATTTATTCAAATAGACATCACATAGGGTTTTTACTTAGGTTTAACTATAGGTCGGGCCGGGTTATTTTGGCAAAGCCCGAGCCCGGCTCGAATTTTATGTGGGTTGGGCTTTTTGGCCGAGGTTAAGCCCGCGGGCCAAAAAGCCTGTTCAAGCCCGTCCGGGGGTCGGGCGGGGACGGGCCGGCCCATCGGGCCACCCGACTCATGAACAGGTCTAGCTAGTACAATCTCATGGCCCAGCCCGGCACGGCTTGCTACAGGCCACTTTGGCTGCTAAAAATATGGTCGTTGGGGGTCCCCAATGGCAATTTTTAGCTTTTTAGGGGTTTTTACATAAATACCCCCTCTAATGGCCATAAACAGCTATTTAGGGGGGGTATTTGTGTGCTTTAATTTGGGGAGGAAAATGATAATATTGCCCCCCCAATAGCTATATAACACTTAGTTTGGGGACATTTTGATAAAATGATAATTAACTTTATGAAAGACCAAAATACCCTAAACAACTATAAAATGGCTAGTTTTAAAAGTATTTCAGTCAATTGAATTAATCCCAACTCCTATAAATGCCCTTACTCTCCATCATTCTCATCACACCAATTCTCATACTCTCATATACTCTTTTATGCACACTTTCATATTCTCTCTCTCTTACACACACTTTCACACTCTCTTAATCTCTTGTTCCTTAGTCCCTAATTCTCAACTTTATTTAAGTTTCAACAAGAAGGATTTCTCAAATTAGCAATTTGGGGAGCTTAGAAGCTTCATCAAATGAAATCAAATTGGGATTTGTGACCAGTTGATCAGGTAAGTTGCAATTAATACTCATTTTTTAGGGTTTTAATATTATAATTTTTTAAATATAACTAGTTCCTCTCAAAATCAATTTTCCAACATGTTCAGCTTTGAAGATGTACAATCACAGTATGACAACACCGATATGGGTGTTAGTTGTTCTATGGGTGATGTTATCAGAGTCATCCCTAGTATTGTCTACACTAAGTGTAAGAGTGATTTTAGTCATAGCATCAAAGGTGGTACTAAAACATATGAACACTCATCCAAAAAATAATGATAGTCAAAATCAATCACAAATTGGGCGTGATTTTTTTGGTAATTTTCAATACTTTTAAGAAAAATGAAACAAGAATTAACTAACTATATTATACATACAATCATTTTTATTAACTGAAGGCCCTGAGCTAGAAAAATTTTTACAACAATTAGTAAATCTCCAATGTTAAAAAAAAAGTTTCTAGAACTACACTTAGAGCATGTTTCTTAAAAAAAATGTATTCATACAAACAAATTTTAATTTCAACTTTTCCAATTCTTAATTTTAAAATTGTACTTACATCTATTATTTAGACTTCCAAATAAAATATAAGTTATATTTGTGTTAGAGGGCATTTTATTGATAAACATTGGCTTTTACTTAAAGATTTTCAAGTTTTACAAGACTTAAATGGCCACATACTGACCCAACAATTGTTGCAAGTATATTAAAGACTTTATATACTTATAGAATTGAAAATAAAGTTTTTTCTATTAGCTTTTATAATGCCAATAATTATGATTCAACAATAAATATTTTAAAATCTTAAATAAAACCGTGTTTAAATGGTAAATTATTCCATATTATGTCACATCTTAAATTTATGTGTTCAAGATGTTTCAAATATTATTTTTTATCATATTTATAAAATTAGAAATTGTATTATGTATTTTAGAAGTTCTAGTACAAGAAAACAAGAATTTAAATATTTATGTCAAAAGTATGGCCTAAAATATAGAAATTTTGTATCAGATGCTCAGTATAGGTGGAATCCACCTATTCTATGTAAGAGAGTTGTATTTCATACAAAGATATTCTTACTAATTTTTATAATGATAAAATGCCCCATGATTTTATAACCGATGATGATTAGGGAATTGTGGTTTGTATAAAATATTTTTTATAAATTTTTTATGATACAACTAGTGAATTTTCGGGTGTTTATTATCAAACTTCTTGTATTTTAGTTAATCATTTATTTATGATTAGTGAATGTTTTTCATAATATAGAAGTAATTTAAATTTTCATAATATATATATATATACATATATATTAGAAAATATTTCTCATCTATATTGCTTAACAACAACATTAAACCCTAGGATTAGAAAAAATGGTTTAGATGTTTTACTTGAATCTTATTATAAAATATGGTAGCTGAAATTGAAACAAAAAAAAAATATGAAATTAATAATTTATTATTTGAAATACATAATTTATATGAATCTCAATTATTGGGATACAAGAGAACTTGTACAGGTACGACCTCTACCATTGAAACATCTAGTTTTAGTAGTAGAAGAGAAATTTTTTTATCTTTAATAAATAAAAGCAAAAATCAACTGCCACTTCATTATCAAGATCATTTATTGAACTTAATATTTATTTATAAGCTAATTTTACTAATTTAATTGACTCCTTAACTCAAAGAAATGAAATAATTTTTCTATTTCAGTTTGGTGGAGTGAACATGAAAAAAAAATTATCCAATTCTTGTCGCTATGTCAGGTAATCTACTAACCCGGCTAGTGTCTACAGTTCCATCGGAGTTTTGATTTAATACAGGTATTAGGGTACTAGACAACAAGAAAAGTTACATGAACAATGAAAGCTTAGAGATATGCATTTGCTTAAAGGATTGGTTGGATGCCAAGGATAGACTACAAGATCAAGGAGGGCATGATACTTCACTTGATGTTTCACCAGACACAGATGATGTAGATCAAGGTCAAGGAGATGGAGGTGAAACTTGAAGAAAATAATGAAGTCAATATTTTTTTTGTATACTCAATAATTGTATAGTATGTTTAAAATTATTGTAAATTTTGTTTTTCAATTTTATTTAAAAGTTGTTGCTTATTTGTTATTTTTTCCATACCACTGTAAAATTTTATTTTCAATTTTTTTATATTATGTTTATATTTTATTATAATTCCAATATTCCATAGTATTTTTAAATTTAATTTTTTACTTTGTATTTATTAAATTCAAATGAAATAAAAATTCTAAAATTTTCTTTTCAATATGTTGTTTATTTTGTATTTTTTTTTTGTTAAATGTTTATTTTCCCCAAAGTTTATATCATCTTTAGACTTTACTTAGCATAAAATAAAAAAATAACAAAAAAAAAAGACTTAGCCCGGCTCGACCCAAGCCCACAGCCCAGTGAGATGATGCAGCCTACAACTACATATACGTTCATTGTTTATTATCTGTCACTTTGACTCCAAGAAAGATTTTAAA